ATATACTGATCATAAAATAATAGAGAAAGATAAAAACATGTATTATGTACAAATACTGCACATATATTGCTTGTCTATACACGCAACATATACTACCGTGAACATATATTGTACATATACCATAGATATACTGTACATATACTACAATCCAAAGTCTGCGAATCAAAGTACTAACTGATCTACACACAGTCTAATATCCATAAAAAAATCGAAACAAAATTCAATCTGTCTGCGACCAAACAATCATCTCCCCAGATCATGGCGACGCCGAAACCCTCTTATGTCGGCGATAATTGAGGAAATCATCCTCCGAAAGATATTCCTCTTCTCCCTCGGCGACTCCGTGGAGAATGATTCTCGGATCGCCTAGGATTACCAACGTATCCCATGAGCTTGAACACGCGAGGCTTGCAACCGTCGCGAACCACCGCTAGCATCCGTCCACTTTATCCTTTGAATCAGTTGTTATAAATTCAGGCCTGGTGAAAGCCGATACGATGAAGGGGCTGTGAGAAAGGGTGGTTTAGAGCTTTATCTCATCGATAGGTTCGAATCGATGGTGGGGAATCGATAGCAAGAAACAAGCAAAAAGGATATATATACAAATTTATAAATAAATAATATAAAATAAAATTTTAAGTATAAAAGATTACTGTCTTTCTGGTGTTTGTTTGAACGGGAGGAGTTTGGAAGAAACAAGGCAGAAGAAGCGAGGGAGCAGTTGTGGGAGGAGTTGCAGAAGAAAAGAAAACGGGGGAGGAAAAGAAAAAGGAAAAGAAAAGAAAAAGGCATTAATTATCTCAATTAATTAATAATTGATTCAATTCCATATTTAAATTATAATTAATAACTTATAAAATTAGGTATATTTGTAAATATGTTGGGCTGATTTTGTATCTTTACAAATAAATATTAATTGACTGTAAATATGTAATATAAAATATATATGATAGTATAGGGTGTAAATTCCTCAAATCACTTCAGCCTCTACAACCCTTTTTGGGCTGTTCACTTCAGTCACTACAACCCTGATTGGGTTGTACACTTCACCATTTGATTCCTTCATAATTATAAAATATAAATTAGAAATCATAAGAAAAATATAATTATATATTATATAAAAAATATATAAAGGTAATAACTGTGAAGTTATTGCCAAAGGTCCAAACTGATTGAGCAAAATAGGATCAGCGGTAATGAGAGCAACCGTAAATGGACCCTTATAAGATCCAAATTGATCCTTCTTCTTTGATACTTTACACATGATTGCTTTATCATTCAAAAGCTAAATTTCATTTGGCAAAAAAGCTCCATCATCTTGCTGCATAATAGAATATACCATAAGAATAATAAACATTTTAATATGTAATTAATCACTAGAGAATTTAGACGAATGGTAAGTGTGCATGCCTTCAACATGTCGTTGACAACATCTTCGCACGATTTTCCAATTAGTTCTCGCAACTTTATCCCAACACAAAAGTGGTACAATGCTGATGTCGTCCACAATTGAAAGGTAGAGCTTGTACCTTAAAATTTAAAAATAAGATATTATTAGATCATATAAATAACGATAATATTAAAATGTGAAATACAATTACCTAAGTATTGCAAAACGAAATCGAGTCCTTGCAATAATTGCACCAAAATCTATCTCCTTTGGCCTCCACTTTCCAAACACAATTTGGGCAAGATTTAAAGAACCAATTGTCGGATATGTCAATGATGTTGCCATAAATCTAGAAATTCTTTTCCTGAAAATTAGAAATCAATAATATAACATATAAGTGATACGAAAATTCATTAGGAAATTCGTAGATGTAATTATTACATCTATAGTAATAATAATTATTTTATAATATAATATTTACCTCATTAGCTTTTAAAAAAATCAGCCAAGCACTTGATTGGAGATATTCCGGACTCCAAATCTTCACGAACATTAGACATGTGGGGCCTCACATATTGGAATGATGAATTACTTGGCTTTATGTGTGAGGTGTACCTTTAAATTCAACAAATAAATTTCGAAAAAGTAACTATATTAATCAATTGATCAAGTCTATTATAATATAATAAGATAGTATAAAAAAATAACCATAAATATCAATACCTTTTTTTGAATTCCAAAATTTCAGGTACTTCACCCATTATTAGCTTTGTAGCATCAAAAATGTTACCAGCTTTTATAGATCCTAAAAGAGAATAAATTTTTTAGAGAATAATATAAATGATAAGTTATAAAAAACATATCATTCAATGTGAAGAACGTACCATCATCAAAAGCCTTTGATCGGCAAAATTGAATAATGACTACACGCAAGTTAGTCACGGTTGAATTGTTCAAGGCATCAACAATGACTTGCACATATCCTTCCAATGTGCAAGTTAAATGGCAGCCCCTACAAATTAATAGATAATTATTTTTCTAATAAGAAACAAAATCGTAATTACTTTAAAAAAAAACAAAGTGCTCGTGATCTTTAACTTACTCAACATCTTCTAGAACAACGTCGATGAACTTCTTTTCCACTCTATTTGAATTTTTTGTTCGTATGCTTTGAAGCATAGCAATACATCTAATCAAATCTAAAAAATTAAACAATTAAACAATATAATTTAATCTTATACAATGTAGCAAAAGAGAAATAATACTTCTATCCATGAAGAAAAATAATTACAAAATATTTTGTTGGAATCAATTGTTTAAGGGTCGGATAGTCCTTTGAAGTTTTTGAAGTTGAACAAAAACCTCGGGTAGTTGTTTTCAATAACATCGTACATTTTCGTCTCTTGACCAAACTCAGACTTGTGGCTTGATTCGCTTAATTTGAAAGCACTTTTGTCCTCCTTTAGGTCCCAACTTGTAATGACATAAACATGTCCTTCGATGGGGTTAAAGTCGTTGAATTTTGTGCCAAGAAACCGGGTGCCGAACCATGAATCCGTTGACCCTAAAAAAAGAAAAAATTATATTATTAGAAAATTATTATTTTGACACATAAACATCAATTACAATAATAAAATGCTTGAAAAAAGATAAGTACCTTAACATCATGATATATAAATTGTAGCTCTCTAATGCTATCTTTGGTGGACTTGTAGAACTTGGGGAAATATCTCACCAATCTTAGCTTTGCAGCCTTTCTTTTGTTTTTGGCCAAGTAAGTTAAATTGTCAAACTAGGAAATCATGATTTTTTTTTGAGATTTTGAAATTGAAAATGCTAACTTTTTGAAATGTGCAAGTGCTTTTGAGTTGCATGGATTGGAGTGAGTGTTTGCCAATTAGATGACTATTTATATAAGAGGATTTGAAAAAAGCAATCAATATAAATAATTTAATGGATTGATGAAAATGATAATTACAATTTAAATAAATTATTGATTGAAAAAAGTTAGCAATTTGTTGATGCTTTTTTTTTTCGCAACGACAGAATTATATAGCACAAAATATACAATGTACATATCGACAAGCCAACTGGCTAATACAGGCAACCCCAATGAGAACCACATCCCTATGCGGCCTAAATTACAAACAAAAGAATGCACACTAAGGCCAGAACAAAGCCGAAACCCTTAGGTCAAATAGGAGCACAAAACAAAATATCAAAACACCAACAGAAGCCAAAGCCTACAAAAACAAGCAAAAGAGAAAGACAGAGCCCACTGAACCACCGGACCTAGACCATGTCTTCCACCTTTACTCACAGCTTGCCACCACAGTTCCCAAATTCTTGCCAGTCCCGTAAAGCTAGCTGCACTACCACCCTCTCCGGCATCCACGTTTGTTTAAACTTCTAGAGGTTCCGTGATTTCCAGAGCCACCACAAAATGTACGTCGTGAGCTGGATACGGGCTTCTGAAATCTCACGATGATCTAAAGAGTAAACTCTCCCCCACCAATCAGCAAAATTGTTATTAGAATCCACAATTCCCTCCCAAGACACAGGTGCCAACTTCCAAACCAGTTTTGCACGAGAGCAACTGAAAAAAATGTGTTCAGCTGTCTCTAACTCTAGGCCACAACAACTGCAAATACCATCTAAATCCATCCCTCTCCTTCTTAGATTGGAACAAACAGGTAAGATATTATTAAAACACTTCCACACAAAATGTTTGATTTTCCCTCTTACCTTTAATTGCCAGCTTCTTTTCCTGATCTTGGCAAGCCTCACAGCTGATTCACTTCCTTCTGCCACATCTAGCTTCCTGAACTTCTCTTTAATAAGGTGAGAATATGCCTTAGCAACAGAGAAAGCTCCCTTAGCATCCCATTTCCATATACATTTGTCCCTCTGCTGAGGATTAAGAGTTTTAATACTCAAGATAGCAGCCATGTCCTCCTCATTAAACAACTCCTGCAGCAAATTTAGATTCCACCTTCTACCCCCTGCTTCCATCAATTCCCATACTTCATTCACCATGATTTCAGAAGAGTGCCGTGATGATGGAACCCCTGTCTCAGTTGATAACAGCCATGGGTCCTGCCAGATTCTAGTATACAGCCCATCTTTCACTTGAATTCTGAAACAAGTTTTATAAATATCCTTTATCCTCATCCAAGTGCTCCAAAGCCAAGAAGAACTGCTAGATTTCTGAGCCTCAAAAATAGAACAGGTAGGAAAGTATCTCTTCTTCAGAATTTTGCTTACCAAAAGGTTTGGAGATGTAGCAATTCTCTAGATTTGTTTCAATATTAACACATCATTAAAAAGTCTGAAATCATGAAACCCCAGCCCTCCTAGATGTTTAGGTAAGGTGATCAGTTGCCATTGCTTCCAGTGTAAACTCTGCTGCTGATCCTCTCCCTTGCTCCACCAATATCTAGCACATAACCTGCTCAGCTCATTGCAAATCCCCACAGGTAAAGAAAAACAGGACATAGTAAATATGGGGAGTGCATTCAGAATAGCCTTCACTAAAACTTCTTTTCCTGCCCAAAAGAGCATTTTGTTCTTCCAGCTATTGATCTTCCTTTGTACTGCTTCCACCACATACTGAAATGTTTCTTTTTTGGATTTCCCAATTCCCCGCGGAAGCCCTAAATATCTGGAAGAGGAATGAACTCTGATGCCTTCAAGTATAGCACATATATCCTCTTGCATTCCAACATTCACGTTTTTGCTGAAAAATATTGAGGATTTCCTCAGATTTACCTTTTTCCCTGTAAAATTATGATATTTCTGCAAGATCTTCACAACTAAAGCTGCAGAAGCTCTATTAGCCACACTGAAAACCAAGGAATCGTCATCAAATAAAAGGTGGGAAATCTCAGGCCCATTTCTGGAAATTTTCAACCCACAGAATTCCCCATTTCTCATTTCAGCTTTAATCAATCTGGTCAGGACTTCAATAACAATAATGAAAATATAAGGTGACAATGGATCACCTTGTCTGATTCCTCTTGAGGTAATGATAAAACCACAGTTCTCTCCATTCAGATTGAAAGAAAAAGAGACAGAAATGCACTCCATAATCCAGCCCACAAATTTCCCACAAAAACCCATCTTCTTCATGATTTTAGATACACAACTCCATTCTAGCCTATCATAGGCTTTCATCATGTCAAGTTTGACTGCCATATACCCTGTACTACCAGTTCTCATTCTATTAAGAAAATGAATAGCCTCATGAGCTATTATTACATTGTCCATCAAATTCCTACCAGGCACAAAAGCAGATTGACTCTTACTCACACACAGATGCAAAGAAGGCTTCAGTCTTTGAGCAATTATTTTGGCCACAATTTTATAAGCAACCCCACACAAACTGATAGGTCTAAAATCACTTACAGACATAGGGTTCAAGCATTTGGGGATTAAAGTAATGACAATGTGGTTCCATTGTTTAAGAATTCTAGAGGATTCAAAAAAACTTCTGACAGCTATACAAACATCATCTTTAATAATGGGCCAAAAATGCTGGAAAAAAAAAAAGAGAAGACATACCATCTTCCCCCGGAGCTTTATTGGGATTTAAGCTGAACAAGCCTGCTCTGACGTCCTCCTCTTCAACAGTGGCCACTAATTCCAGGTTCAGTTGGTCTATGATGGATGTTGGAATATGCTGCAAAATCTCTGCCTCCTCCCTTGACCCTTCTGATTGAAATAATTTGGAGTAAAAATCAGTCACACAATCAGCAATATCTTTCCTGCTTTCATGAACTCTCCCTGCTGAATCCACTAGTCTGGTAATAGAATTACTCTTCCTCCTTTGTAGAGTCATAGCATGGAAGAACCTGGTATTCCTATCTCCTTCTTTGAGCCACAAGGCTCTGGATTTTTGCTTCCAAAACAGCTCCTCTGATTTGTACACCTCATCTAATTCTTTTTTTAATTCCTCCCAGCTATCCCAATCTCTATCTCCCCCTTGCTCTCGCAACTGCTCAAGTCTCTGTGTCAGCTGTTCAATCCTCTTAGAATTATCTGACTTGAAAGCTTGACTCCACTTCAACAATGCCACCCTAGTCTGCTTGATTCTCTCTTGTAATTGGAACATAAAAGTTCCAGATTGTTGTTCGCTCCAGGCTGATTCAACAACTTCAGAAACCCCTGTTTGCTGGAGCCACCTTTTGTCAAATTGGAACCTCCTCTTCATTGGCCTGTCTTGCTTGGGATCATCTGTCAGAACCATCAGTTTATGGTCAGAAGCACTTTTAAAGTAGCTCTTAAGCTCAGCATCAGGGTGGTTGCTAATCCAAGAAAGAGATCCAAAAACCCTATCTAATTTCTCCTCAATAAACCCTTCCCCCTCCCTGTTATTTCCCCATGTAAAGCCATCCCCCACCATTCTAATCTCCAACATTCCCATCCCAGAAATGAACTCCAAAAAACCCTCCATCTCCCTTTGATTTTTTATTCTTCCCCTTTTTTTTCAGATACATCACAAATTGTATTCCAATTCCCCCCTATTACCCATTTCTCACCCCATTTAGCCCTAGCCTGCAGCAGATACTCCCACTGAGAGTCCCTAATGTTTCTATCTGTGCTCATGTAGACTAGGATCACCCACATGGAACCCCCATTCTCTCCCTCAGCAATCTCCATTTCAATACAAAAGGAATTACAAATCATTTGCAGGACAACAGAATCCCTACACCACATAACTACCAGCCCACCCCCAATCCCAACAATTTCTACAGCCTTCCACCTCCCTTCAAACCCCAAATTTCTACAGACAGTTCTAGTAAAGAAATTTTGTTTTTTTGTTTCTGAAAGAAAGACAAAATTTGGATGGTGGACTCTTAAAGAGTCCTTTAATTGTGAAACTGTAGAGAGCCCACCCAGACCTCTACAGTTCCACAGAATAAGCTTCATTTATCCAATTGGGGCCATTTTAGGCTGGCTACCACCACCTTAGAATCTGAACCCTTCAACTTCTTGCTCTCCTCTTCCTCCAGTTTTGACTCCTCAGTAGAAGGAGATATATTTGTGTCAGCAGGCCTCCCTCTTTTGCCTGATCTATGCTGCCCATTAGTATCCTCCTTCTGAACTTGTCTCTGTACTTTGTCACCAGCTTTGGGTATCCTCCTCCAGCTTCTACCTCCCTTTGGTGGAATTAGAGAAGAAGAATCGCTGCCATCTATTTTCACCTCTGTTTCCACCAAATTGTACATTGATAGATCCATGGCTTGCTCTACAGCAATAACAGTTGTTTTCCCCGTATCCTTCTGGTTCTCCTCAATCCTTAATGGCCCTTCCATCCACCCTGATCCTCCTTCAGTTGCAATATGATCCTCATCCATGTTCTTGTCATTGATCTCATGAGCACCACCATTGGTTGTTTCTGTTCCCCCATTTCCAGGATCAATTACAGCCAGCTGTAGAGAGGTTTCAGTATTTGCTTCATTAGTTTGAGGAGACACATCATCCCTTCTCTCTGAAGCAGAATTAAGGTTGTGCTCGGAACTGTTCCCCCTGATGATTGGTGCTGCCCAAATCTGCCTGAGTACCACATATAATTCTGGCTTCCATCCAATGCTTTCATCCAATCCCCATACTGGCCTCCTTTAAGTTTGCCTTCATCTATGTCTTCCAATCTTTGCTTGCAACTCCTATCCAAGTGGCCGATCTTGCCACAATAGTAGCATAAGTTTACCAGCCATTCATACTGGAATCCCACAAGAACTTGTTGGTCCTGGAATTTGATCGAAGTACAGCGAGGTAGAGCTTTCGATAAATCCACTACTGCTAACAGTCTGATAAAACTGCCCTTTGTACCTCCTGCATTGATGACTGAGACATTTTTCACTTTTTTGAAAATCCTTCCAACCTTCAAACCAGTCTCTGCACTTAGCCAGTTCAATGGAATGTTCTTAATCTGGACCCATAGTTGCAATTCCTAGAATCCTGCAAACCCCGTATTAATACCTATCTCCCATTCTTTCAACACTAAGTATTGGTTATCAAACACCCAGTTAACTCCAGATAGAACCTTCCTTTTGTCCTCCTTATTCCCAAAAATAAATTGGAAATAATTCAGACTCAGTTCACGCACTTCCATAGGTTGACTAATCGTCCAGATGCTACTCATAGCTCTCCTTATTCCCACCAAGCTGGCTCTACGGTCACCCGTAATTTTGCCAAAAAGACTGTTATGACACTCTTCTTCACTAGAACGGACATCTGCTTCCTCGAGCTCAAAAACCCCATTTTCCTCCCCTGAGAGTGAAATCTTACTGAGCTGCTCCCCCAGAACATCCGGCGAACCCCCTGGAATAGTGGCCTCTGTAGAATGAGAATCCATCAGCAGACCTGCAGAAAAAAAGAAAAAACAAGGAAGAAAACCACCCCTACCAAAACAAGGAAAGAGAGCAAAGGGACACAGAGACTGAAAACCCAAATGGAAACCCTAAAAAAAACCCCCAAAACACTAACTAAAGAACCCCCCAACCAGAGGAATCCCCCAACTAACACCCGATAGAATCGCCCTCTAACCCTAAGAGAATCGCAATTTGTTGATGCTTTGACCAGCCACATTTAATATTTAATTTTTATTAGAGTAATGAGATTTGTAAAAAAAATTGGGATACTTTTTAGTTTTTATTTCAGTTATGAGATGAGAATATGGGATTGGACCGGCCACATTAGTATCCTAATTTTTATTATGAATGTGATATTTGCAAAAATATTGAACATTTAAATTTTATTTTTTAGTAGAGTTAAGAGATCAGAAAAAAGAATGGGAAATTGATTTTTTGACCTTCACCATTTATATATATATATATATATATTTAGTTGGTTGTAATTTTTTAAATTTTTTATTTGTTTTCATTAATTTCATTTAATTTACTATGCATATAAAAAATAATTGCGATTAAAAAAATGATAACTGATAATTGTTGAGACTCTATTTAATATGTTTAAAAAAATATGAGAACATTATTAACTTGTTATCATTTTAGAATTTTTTTTTTTTTTTTTT